ATGCAGTTCATACCGCGGAACGTCGCAATAAAGTATTGCAATACCTAACCATAGTATAGCTATGTATAGCATTACATATCCATAGTATAGCTATGTATAGCATTGCATAGCCATATTATAGCTATGTATAGCATTACATAGCCATAGTATAGCTATGTATAGCATTACATATCATAGTATAGCTATGTATAGCATTACATAGCCATAGTATAGCTATGTATAGCATTACATAGACATTGTATAGCTATTTATAGCATTACATAGCCATAGTATAGCTATGTATAGCATTACATAGCCATAGTATAGCTATGTATAGCATTACATATCATAGTATAGCTATGTATAGCATTACATAGCCATAGTATAGCTATGTATAGCATTACATAGCCATAGTATAGCTATGTATAGCATTACATAGCCATAGTATAGCTATGTATAGCATTACATATCATAGTATAGCTATTTATAGCATTACATAGCCATAGTATAGCTATGTATAGCATTGCATAGCCATAGTATAGCTATGTATAGCATTGCACAGCCATTGCATAGCTATGTATAGCATTTCATAGCCATAGTATAGCTATGTATAGCATTACATAGACATAGTATAGCTATGTATAGCATTGCATAGCCATAGTATAGCTATGTATAGCATTTCATAGCCATAGTATAGCTATGTATAGCATTACATAGACATAGTATAGCTATGTATAGCATTGCATAGCCATAGTATAGCCATGCATGACCATCCATAGCCAAGCATAACTATATAATATATTGTTGTGCTTTACTATTACTATGATGGCTATACTATTGCATTACTATATTATAGGCATGTATAGCAATGCATAGCCAACACTAGCCATAGTATAGCCATGTATTGTAATGTATAGCCATGCATAGTCAAGTATAGCAATGCATAGTCATGTATAGCAATGTATGGCTAAATATATAATATGTTAATTCGTGCTCATACTCACCTACGGCAGATGCCGGGGTAAGGTAGTGGCAGAAGTCGGCCGTGTGGCGCCCCCTGGTGTGTCGTCTGCGTGCGTGACGACGTACGTTACTGATCAGCGGAGCTCGTGTCAGCCCTACATCTCTCTCTCTCTCTCTCTCTCTCTCTCTCTCTCTCTCTTTCTCTCGCTCTCTCTCTGTCTCTCTCTCTCTCTCTCTCTCTCTCTAACTCTCTCTCACACACACTATCTCTGGTTCGCTTTCTCTCTCCCTCTCTCACTGTCTGTCTCTCTCGCTTTTTCTCTCCCTCTCTCACTGTCTGGCTCTCTCGCTTTCTCTCTCTCTCTCTCTCTCTCTCACACACTGTCTGTCTCTCTCGCTTTCTATTTTCCTCTCTCACTGTCTGTCTCTCTCGCTGCCCTCTCTCTTTTCCTCTTTGTCACTTCCTATCTGCCTCTCTCTCGCCGTCCGTCTTTCGCTCTCTCTCTCTCTTATTGCCTGACTCTCAGTATCGAGTCCTCTCTGTATCTTATCTCTCTCTCTCGTTCTCTCTCACTTTCTCTGTCTCTCTAGCTTTCTCGCTCTCTCTCTCTCTCTATCGCTCTCCTTCTCTCTCTCTCTCTCTCTCTCTCTCTCTCTCGCTCTCCCTCTCTCTCACTTTCTCTGTCTCTCTAGCTTTCTCTGTATCTGACCTCTCTCTCTCTCTCTCTCTTTGCTGCTGCTGCTGCTGCTGCTGCTGCTACTGCTACTGCTACTGCTGCTACTGCTGCTGCTGCTACTGCTGCTGCTGCTACTGCTACTGCTCCTGCTGCTGCTGCTGCTGCTGCTGCTGCTACTGCTACTGCTGCTGCTGTTGTTGTTGTTGTTGTTGTTGTTGTTGTTGTTGGTGGTGGTGGTGGTGCTGCTGCTGCTGCTGCTGCTGTTGTTATTGTTGTTGTTGGTGGTGGTGGTGATGATGGTGGTGTTGGTGCATGGTGATGCTGGTGGTGCTGGTGATGTTGCTGCTGCTGCTGCTGCTGATGTTGTTATTGTGGTTGTTGTTGGTGGGGGTGGTGATGGTGGTGCTGCTTTTGTTATCGCTGTTGTTGTTGTTGTTGTTGTTGTTGTTGTTGTGTTTATTGTTATTGCTGCTGCTATTGCTACTTCTGCTGTTGCTTTATTGCTCCTGCTGCTGCTGCTGTTGCTGTTGTTATTGTGGTTGTTGGTGGTGGTGGTGATGATGTTGTGTTTATTGTTATTGCTATTGCTACTTCTGCTGTTGCTTTGTTGCTCCTGCTGCTGATGTGGTTGTTGTTGCGGTGATGTGGTGTAGGATATATACCCCCTCCCCACACCCCGCGCGCCACCCACACAGACACACTACTCCTTTCACCACCCTCTAAAATACACAGTATCATTGTTTTCCCGCTAACGACAACCAGGCCTCTCTCCTTTTGATCACCCTCTAAATACAGGATATCATTGCTTTCCCACTAACGCCAACTAGGTCTGTGATTTTGACGACTCTCTAAATACAGAGTATCATTGTTTTCCCACTAACCAGATGTCTCTCTCTCTCTTTGATCACCCTCTAAATACAGTGCTCCTGGCAATATGACACCATCCTCGTTTATATTCCCCTCGTAAACGCTGGCTCATTCCCCGTTTATTATCTTGTACACGTTGATTAACGTGAACATATCACATCACGGCGCTCTTCCTTCATAATTTTATAATAAGCACGCGCGCCATCTACCGTCGATCCCGGGGTTTTATAACGGCGTGCGGATAATGCTGAATTTTTCCCTTGGCCGCACTTATAAGTGTGGCCAGTGCTGAATTTTTCCCTTGGCCACACTTATTTTGATTACGTGCGGATAATGCTGAATTTTTCCCTTGGCCCCACTTTTAAGTGTGGCCAGTACTGAATTTTTCCCTTGGCCACACTTATTTTGATTACGTGCGGATAATGCTGAATTTTTCACTTGGCCCCACTTTTAAGTGTGGCCAGTGCTGAATTTTTCCCTTGGCCACACTTATTTTGATTACGTGCGGATAATGCTGAATTTTTCACTTGGCCCCACTTTTAAGTGTGGCCAGTGCTGAATTTTTCCCTTGGCCACACTTATTTTGATTACGTGCGGATAATGCTGAATTTTTCCCTTGGCCGCACTTATAAGTGTGGCCAGTGCTGAATTTTTCCCTTGGCCACACTTATTTTGATTACGTGCGGATAATGTG